TGCAGGAAACCTTTTGTTGCGACTCGAGCCGTGACTTACTCGACTCCCAGATTTCATGTACAATCCCAGCAAAAATAAGGACACTGTTCAGGCCACTTGTGCTTTCCGTGTGTTCCATTTGTGGTGGGGCAGCCTCCTGAAATTCCTGTTTGGAAGAGTTCAAACCCTAATTGAAATTGTACCCTACAGCATTAACGCAATGTATTACAAACTGGTCGGTACAAAAAGGGCATAAATCCACATTATGTAAGGTAAAGTTGTACCTGTGCTTAACTAATTAAGCACTACTCCTTGAAGGCGTATGGGGGAGTATAAAGCCACATTTTCTTGACCTCGGCACTAGTTGGAGGTGAGTGGTCAGCTTCATGCCCAGGCCGCTTTACCTCCGGTACCCGTTGTATAGGAGGTTGGGTGACCCCAGAGCCGGTCTGGACGACATGGAGAAGTGAAAATTCTTGACCTTATCGGGATTCAAACTCCGACCTCTCGGTCGTCCAGCCCGTAGCCAGTCGCTATACCGACTGCACTATCCCGGCTCCTAACTGCATAACTTATCGTAAAACGTGTACAGACAGAATGACTTTCTACTGAAAATTTGAGGACAGAAAGGTTTAAAGAAATCATGTAATCAACATAGACGCACTAAGTCATGAATCATGAAGTTTCAAAATGGAACACATGAACTCCTACAGTGTGATAAGCCAGTTGAGTCATTCTGTCAGTTCTTGGGATTCTTGTTACGAACACTTTGAGGGCCGGATGGCGTTGTTGTGTAATGCGGTCACCGCTAGAGTCACGAGCCCTAGCGCAGGCAACACCGTGACGTCCACAACGTATATAAATATGACACGTTTATTGAAATGAGTACATCTTCACCGCCTGGCGTGGGAGCCCTGTTGAGTAGCCCCCGGGATATTCACAGTGCAGCGACAAGTACAGATATGTAGATCACGGGAGGTGCTTACAAAATATTGCTTTATATATATCAAAAATTGACATTATAATGCATTGCGGTATTGATGGTTATTGTGTCTGTAAGACAGATCGAAAGTAAGTCGTGACCTAATATCAATTCGCTTTATGATCATGATAATTTCTTTAATGTAGTCTTAATTTTATGTACTTACACATTGGAGTGTGCAATGTCCTTTGGGATTGTCTTTAGGGCTCTTTACATATAGCCTACACAATAACGAAATTAATTAATTTATTCCTTATTGGTCGATTCTAATGTAGAGGTTTCTGTTTTTTTAACAAGCCATGCATTCGGAAAAGCTCCTTGAAGGAAACTTAAAGATTCAATTCGACCCGTCCGAGAACGACGCCGATTAGCCCAAATTTCCATGTCTCGAACGACAGATTGGAACCAGAAGTACCAGTGATCGAGCTTCCGAGTACTACTTTCATTTACTTCTTTATGGCTTATTTAACAACACTTTCAGTAACCAGTGACGGCCTCTGTGTCTAGTGGTCAGAGTTCCTAGCTACAGATCCAGAGGTCCCGGGTTCAATTCCAGGAGCTACCAGATTTTCTGAGAAGTAGTGGGTCTGGAACGGGGTCCACTCGGCCTCGTGAGGATAACTGAGGAGCTATTTCAAAGAAATAGCGGCTCCGGTCTAGAAAACCGAGGTTAATGGCCGTGGGGATCCGCTGCGCTGACCACGTGGCACCCTCTGTCCGCAAAAGTTGGCACCAACTTCGCCGACAAGCGGCGGTCGCTCGGTCGGTATAGTTCGCTTGCTGACTACAGGCCATGGAGTTTGTTTTCTCTTTTTTTCGGTAGCCGATAAATTCTATACACCTGCAGAGCGGACAGTTACGTAAATGAATGGGAAAGGACGTGGAAAGAATGGAGCATGTCCTGTCTTAAGATATTGTTCCTGGAAATACTGAGTAAATCCATGAAAACCGTTAGCCAAGAGAATCTGTTTCCCGGCAGAGATTCGAGCCAGGCACCCCTGGATCATGGGTCAGAAGAGTTACTGTTGGAGGTGCTCAGTGTGGTCAGTACAGCGACTAATCGGCAATTATTTTTATCAGCGAAATTCTGTTAAATTAATGCAACACTTTCGCGTTGCCCCATTCAGCTCTCTCGCAGTTCTCTGACGTGCGCGAAGGCAAGCGAATTTCCGTCACATTCTCGGCGTAAGCGCGCAGACTCTTCTCTGACGCCGTAAAGTTGTCCCTACGGTTAATTAATTAAACACCACGGCATGAAGACACATCGGCGAGTGGAGGCACAGATCCACCATTCTTCATCTCAATGGTCAGTTTCACTCCTCGGCCGCTTTAACCCCCGAAAAATATCCCTGTGTCCCCATCCGATAAGAGGCTGGGTGGGCCCCAGAAGGGTCCGGACGTTGTGGAGTAGAGAAAGGTGACGCAGTAACGGAGTTCGAGCAAAATATGAAGCAAGTCACTTTCAACTATTCTTCTCCGAAAAGATTTACGTTGTTGCTACAGCTCAGAAATGATGGAGTACAGATTTTGCTTATGAAACCCTGTTTTCTTGTTCTTACATGCCTCTGAATCAATGACCGTAATAAAACCAATATTTGACCACCTGCGCGCATCCTCTTATTAAACCAATATTACCTCGACACATTACGAAGAAAAGCAATAATTTTGCATCGTTTGCCCAATATTGGCTACTGGTCTGTGCTGTGTAGCATTTCCACAAACATAAATCCTATTCGTAATTTAGAGGTCAAATATTTAGGGTTGAAAAGCACTTATTTTGCACCATCATTTGTGTAAGGAATTAGTAGAAGCTTATGCTTTTGTAGATATTTGTTCTCGAAGCGTATAGTGCAATTTGTTTTCAACATTCTCTCACTCGTTATGACTCTGTTTCAAGTCCTTTCTATTTATCTTCGAAAGAGGGAAAGAACCATCTGTTTCTGAACAACTATTTAAATATTGTTGTATCCTCACTATAAAGTGTCGCGTTCGAATCCCCATCTCAGTCCGTATTCGGACAGTAAGCACGATGTTTAATTTGTAATTATTGATTATAATGTTATATCCAAATTTCATACGCACGTGAATCGATGTTTCCAAGCAACGAATATATTATTATATTGTATAAGTCTTACTGTTTGATCACGACATATTTTTGTTATTAGAATCATCTGTCATCATCACTGTTGTTAAATTTACGTATGTACATGTGTGGTTGCATCTTCTGTTAAGTTAAGGAAAAAAGAATGATTTGTTTTATTATTTAAATTGTATAGACGCACTGTTATGATGTGAATTGTGTGACGTGTTTTTGTGTATGACGTGTGACAAATGGTTAAGGGATTGCTAAGTATTAAATACTTATTTTTTGTACTGTAAAAATATGAACATGAAGAAGGATTTGCTGATTGAATTCCACTATATACACGTGTTAATTTATTTAAAACAGTTTTAACAGAAAAAATGTTTATACTTACTAACTCATTCTATTAAGGATCAGTTCCATGTACTGTGCCCATTGTTCTGTACATCCCACATACAGCAGGAAGCATAATATATGCAACTTCTGGTTGTACACAACTGTCCTTTAACATGTAGGGTCTGATTAAGTTCCGTATTAGCCCGAATATAAGGAGAGTTATTTTTTTAACAACTGCTTCTTAGAAGCCTTATTTTCGGTCCTTAAGAATAAATATGAAGAAAATGATTGCAAGGTGTAACACTTAGAACTAAATGACAAAAGCAATTTTGTATAAAAAAATGTTTTTTAATTTTCTCGTTTGAGAAAAGGGGGGGGGTTGCCTTACATTCGGGCTTAAACAATACGTAAAAAAAAATAAAGGTAAGATTTCCCGCTATCTTTAAGCATAACGCCAAGACGTGGCTGTAAAGCTGTGTGGTGATGCTAGTCGGAGATAAGTGGCCAGTTTAACGCTCTGGCCGTCTTACGCCTGGAAACCATTCCCAAGTAGGTCTACGGTCTACAAGTTGGATAACTTGTTGGTCTGGACGTGTAGCCGACGAAAGAAAATCCGACTGGCCCTCTTTACCAGAACATAAAATATTCGGTATTCAGTGCACAAAGGCTGGGCAAGCATCAGACGGGTTGCATCTGTACGCGGCGTCGCAGGACAGAACACACGCCCCGACGGGGAGTTAACTTAGGTCATGTATATGTACACACAACGAACAAACCAACCCAATAACTAACTCACTGGAGTAAAGTCCTGCAGATGCAAATAGCCGCTAACCTATTCCGCAGTCTCATAACCCAAACACTCAGTGAAGTCCGTCACGTGACCCTATCCTCGGATAGATGAATCTGCCCCGGATTTCGAACTGGATAACAGCTGTCTGTACAAGTCACATGATTATGATTACCCTTTCTTCTTTTTAGAAGGTCGAGGGCTCGACCTCTGGGACTGAGCAATTTCATGCAGCGGGAACACTGCACTCAGGACACAGGCCTTCTCGGTTTGAATCTCGGCCCACCAACCAACAGTGCTGAAGGTCTTCCTGACACTCCTCAGTCTGTCCACGAATAATACCATAAAATGTACCGCGACCAATTCTTTTCAAAATTCTAACCACCTCACGAAATCTCCATATATCATTCAACGTTGTATAATGTTTTTAAATCGCACAGAATCGCTGAATAATCCAGAAATCAATTATAGACAGATGTCTCAGCCCTTCTGTTAAATCTGACATTGTTCGTGGTGTCCTTCGCCTCGTTTCAAGTTAAATTACTCCTTTTACAGAGAGGCTCAACATAAGGATTCACGACGCTGTAGATCTAACAACAGAAATACGAGACAGTAACTACACGGTACCTGCTTCAATTATCGTCTAAAAGCAGCATGTAAATACTTGGTTTTAACAATTATTCTGGAGGATGGTGTGACTTCCAGGCGAAATCCCGAGCTTGCTCCGTCGAACCAGTAGTCAAAAGAACCACTGAAGAATTGTGTTTCGATCATGGACAAAGGTAGAACACCTAGACAAGTGAGAGTGAAGTATTTCTCAAATATTTTATTATTATATGTAAATCTTACTTTACAGTTATAAAGAATAACAAAATCGTGAATTGGATTCTGTTCGTGCTAGAAAAAAGAAACTGTACTTTCTACGCCGAGTAAATTTATTTAATAATGCAAGTGAAAATAAACTCCTCAGGAATCTCTTAAAATTTATATTTTTATTAATATAAGTAGCGATCGCTTGAGAACTCAGGCCAAAAATTTATTATTGCAAATAATACGTTATCATATAAGAATAAAAACAAAAGAAATCATGTATTTTCTAAATTAAACTCATCAAGAAAACGTTAAGCTAGCTCACAGCTCAGTTATCCCATTTGATATTAAACAATGAAGCAGTGTATCACACAAAATAAATTATGTTTCAGCAAAGCTTCATGTTTTCTTAACACTAACTGATGCTTGGAAAGAACTAAACAGTTTATTATATGGTATCAGAGTGAAGAACTCTCGTACGTGTATACACAGCCGACAAGAAACACATACAATATATATTCATGTTACGAACATTTTCCTCCGTACTACAGACATCTTCGACTGAAGTTATTCATAAAATGGAAATAAAAAATAAGATAATTCCTACCAGCCATTTTCTGAATTCGTAACAACATCTGCAAACAAAACCTAAAAGACACACGTCACAACATCTGGCATATAAGAATAATAAATATTTCTGCAGCAGTGAAATGGATAATTGAAGGAGACAGTCCTGCAAATAACTGAGCAGCATGAAGAATGCTAAACAAAATATAGGGTTCCGATCGCCACGATTTTGACAGCGTTTCTAGGAAGAATAAAAGTTCAACCTCTATTCCGACAGGAAGTGGAGTTAGTGAAGCCCTTATGTTTGGTATAGGCGTTACGGCTGAACGTTGCTTTCTCCTGAATCGAGGAATCGGATGAAAGGGCAAGACATTTTGGTGTATCCTATAAAGATTAATGTTCCTAATTATAAAAAAGAGATCTTAAAGGTTGTACACGCTTTATTTTTGATACCATACTCGTGAATAACGTACTGGATCCAAGGAAAATTAGGAAGAGATATTTACCAGACATATTAACCGTTTCCATTATATGCACGAGATTATTTGTTTATAAATGCAGACTAATGCTCCTTCAATCAGTGGGAATGATAAAGTGATATGGGAACATAAATAAAAGAAAATGCATTTATTATCAAAATAGCATGAGCGAGGAAATGTTTAACACTGTGTGCTGCTCGGGCTAGGCTGATCCCGCATGGGGCGGGTGACTCTGGCCCAGACTGGGGGCAAGGTGGCGGCAGACAGGTACCCTGTGTGACCTGTCAGTGACTGGGGTGGCATTCCTGTCACAAAGCGACTCAGCTCTCTGTTGTCGGGTGACTTCCAGCCAGCCTTTTCTGGTTTCTGGCCTCCAGATATTCCAGCTGCAACTTGGGCGTCCTCGGCTGGGACACTTCTCTGAAAGAAGAGGTACGTACGTTGTGTATTACTTCACCTGTGGTTCACTTACACCTGACTGAAAAACTGAGATTAGACCCCGCCAAGGGGGTTTCTTACTGCGGTTAAGTGAAACAATTTGTTGAGGTGGAAATTTTGATTCGAGATGGGAATAAGTTCGAAATTTAAACCGTTATACAATAAGAAACTTCAGGACTAACACATGTCATCCATTGATGTTACGAAAAAAATGCGATGGGCTGAACGTGTAACTCGAATAGATGAGATAAGGAATGTATGGAGAATTTTAATGGGGATGCCTCTTAAAAGTGGTCATTTGAAATATCTAGTGGATTATCGTAAGGTAGCATAGAGCAGTGCTTCTCAACCGCCGGGTCGCGGCCCAGTAGTGGGCCCTGGCATCAATTATACTGGGCCGCGAGAGGCTCTTCTGGAATTTGTAGTTTTCATTTTCTAAGCATTTTTCATGAATAGATATTTTATAGTTAGCTTAATGCATGAACTTTAACAGAACTGGAAAGGTATTTACGAGTAAATTTGTTGGGACTGGGCCCTCGTCTTATAAAGAAAGAACTTACTGGGCCGCGGTCTCATAAAGGTTGAGAACCACTGGCATAGAGGTGTCGCGTAGTCAGCGCAACGAATCCCCACGCCCGTTAATTTCGTTTTTTCTAGACCGGAGCCACTATTTCCTTGAAATAGCTCCTCAATTATCCCCACGAGGCTAAATGGACCTCGTTCCAGACCCACTACTTCTCAGAAAATCTAGTAGGGCCGGGAATCGAACCCGGGACCTCTGGATCTGTAGCCAGAAACTCTGACAACTAGACGAGAGACGGAGTTTGTTTTGTAGCATTACAGTAATCTTAAACACTGTGAGGTTCGGAGATGTACAGAACTGTCCCACGATAGAGTCCAAAGATGGGTTGTGGTAGTAACCTACTGGGGCTTCGGGTTCTAGTGCCAGAGAGACAGCTTACTTCTCTCTTCATCCACTTGTAACTTATCAGCTTATTTGTGGATCATTATCCAAAATACGACAAAACTGAAACATGCAGGACACTTCGCATATCTGTGCATATAGCGCCCAAGTCCCTACGTAAGGCAAAATACCGAAAGGTCTTCAGCATACAAGACTCCGAAACTATCTAATTAGAGCCCTCTCTATTAATTATACTATGATAATGTAATATGGCGAAGGTGTTCTGGTCTTTTAATGTCAAAGTTGGCTGTCTTTTTACTCACACGAGAGATCAGCACACGCGGGCTCGGAATGCTGATTCCAGCTGTACGCTCTGTGGCCAGCAACTTGAAATAATGATGAATTCTGTTTTCTGGAATATAATGTCTTAAAGTCCGGTGAAATATCCCAGAAAACAGAATAACCACCGCTCTGATAATCTCAGATCCTACATATTTCGTGTCGCTTCAATTTATATTTTTTTTCTTAAAAAGTATATAAGACTGCCTCATATTTCCGATATTATTTTACCGTATTTCATCTTTGTACGCAAAATATAGTTACAAATTGACCGTTAATGTATATTTCGTACACGTAATAGAATCTGTGTTCCATATTACTGTCTGATCCGTGTCTCAATGGCGAAGAGTGATGTCACTGAAGACTTCTTGTTCGACCACACGTGAATAACTTCACCAAAGGAACTCGGCTTACCAGAATTGTCCTAAAATTGCAAAACGTCTTCGTGACACAGAATTATAAGAGTTTATTGATAGTTCTTTAAAAAATGTGCCCAATTAGATGCCTCGATTAAAGTACACATTCTGTAAAATTCAAATTTACGTTGAGGTATGCAGCCAGATGTACGTCTATACACGTAGTCATATTTTTTTGCTTGTACTGCGGCCACTTCTGGCCTATTGTACCAGCCCCAGATGATAGGTGAGGGTGATTGTGAAGCAATTGGTGGAATGAAGATTGGCAGGGGAAACCGAAGTACTCGGAGAAAACCTGCCCCAGCACCACTTTGTCCAATACAAATCCCACTTGACCAGACCCAGGATCGAACCCGGGCCGCCGGGATGGGAAGCCAGGGACTAACCGCTTGAGCTGTGGCGCGGCCATGTAGTGATATTAGTACAGCTGAAGAGGATTTTACGTAGTAACGTGGAGCACTGAGTAATTTTTATATCAATACCATTACGCGCGCACTGACGTAACTTCACGAATATTCTCCCGCGGCCCGATTTGACCTACATTGGATACCTTAATGTAAAAGGTAAGGTAAAGTTTGTGATGTACAGATCCAAGTTTTCTTGACCTCGGCACTAGTTGGAGGTGTGTGGTCAGCTTCACGCCCCTGCAACTTTACCTCCGGGAAAGAGCCCTCGGTGTTCGTTGGATAGGAGGCTGGGTAGGCCTTAGACCCCGTCTGGACGTCGTGGAGTAAATACTTGACCCTACCGGGTCTCAAACTCCAATCCCTCGGTCGTCCAGCCCGTAACCAGTCGCTATACCGACTACGTTATCGCGAGATGTTTCTTAATAAAACTGTTACCACCGTGTTTGAGCTAACCAATGTTACAGCGAGTAAACGTAAATGAAACTTAACCGTTAGAGCAATTTAGGCAGACTGTAAAGGCTTTTGGTAGGTCAAGTGATTGTAAATAAAACTCGAATTTTCGGTGTGTAGGATTTGAGCTTCTTGCAGAGGTGGATATGGAGAGTTCTATCTTCTGAGATCTAACGCCGTGTAGTCCGCTGAAGTCATCCGACGTTTCGCAGGAACATTTTTAGGATGGAAGAATAAGTCGAGCAAGAAATCAGCAGCGGTTGGCTACCTACTTCATGCTCGTTTATGGCTTATTCTTCGACTCCGAAGATGTAGGCGACATGTTCCTCCGAAACGTCGGTTGGCTTTTCGGGTCCGAATCTTGTATTTATTCCCAGTACATTACAAAGGACTGCTTGATAGCACCGTCATATGGGCCACGTCTGCTTCCTTCCAAATCTTATCCATTTCAAATTCATAAATCATTTCACACAACATATTGTACGCAGTTGAAAAAGCGCCCTTAAATAAAACAAGGAGCCATCAAAATCCTAAATAAAAAAAATACATAGTTTGTTTTGACGAACGTCTCGGGGAAGATGCTCCCCCCCAAATGTTGGTAACCACCTATCAGACTATACGGTCTTAGAAACCGAAAGATCTCAATTTTTACTGACATGCCAAAGCCCATAAAAGACGGGTGGTCTGAGCGTTATAAAGTCGTTCCAAACGACCATGTAATTAGCTGTGCAACGAGAAACACGTTAGGTAAACGTCGACGGATATTAACAAATTATTTCTATAAGCCAACGAAGAAGTCAGGAATACGATCTGCAAACACAACATTGTCGCGATGAATTTCCGTTAAAGTTTGCGACCTAATGAAACCGGCGGCATTCACCGCGACGGAACTCCTATTCAACTGTCTCAACGCAGATGTACTGGTCGCATTTTATTGCAAAGTAAACGGTGTTTGCAATCGTGACGCTGTGAAACCTCTGTCATTACCGTGGTAGAACTTTATTTACACTCCTGATAGTGATATTGATGGAAATGCCGTTACTCTCGTCACACATTGTTCCTGACAGGACTTCACCTCAGCAGACACCTGCTCACTATCTGAACCAAGGTAAGTCAAACCTGACGTCATATGTCGTATTTCTGTTCACGATTTAATGACGTACTGCCTAACGATCATAATATATTCCTCAAGGCACGGGCACCAGAGACTAGTCCTGCCCCAATTTCAACCATTCCAGTTATATTTTAGGGTTTCAAGTCTCACGTGGTAACATTGCCAAAGCACGGCAGGGAACTTTGGTGATGGAGCTGCCATCCTCTGCCTCAAGATTTATGTATTGTTTCATGGTTTGTTTCGCTTAGGCTCTAGAGGCCGTACCATAATTCGGGCGGTTAGTCGCCGGCTTCCAACCACGGCGGCCCGGGTTAGGTCATGTGAGATTTGTGGTGGATAAAGTGGCATTGAGGCAAGTTTCCTCCGAGTACTTCTGTTTCCCCTGCCAATTCGCATTCCACCGATTGCTCCAAAATCATCATCATCTATCATCTGGGGCTGGTATAATAGGTCAAACAGTGGCCGCAGTACCGAGTGCACTCAAGGGGAGCTCTATTTCAGGGAACACTTCTGGCGTGTCTTGGCAAACCACTGATTGGTTGTGTGGCTATATGGAAACAGCCCAATTTGCCTCATTGCTTCGCTCAGACGCGCTACAAACATTAAGGAAAAGAAATTTAGAAATGGTACCCTATACATAACACACTAAAATAGTGAACCAGAGTTTCAGATCAACTGTCAGGAAATACTGGCTCTTGAGGAAACATACTATGGCGAAGATAGCGAACAGGACGTTTAGTGGCGTAAGAAAAACCATGGGAGAATATGTCTAGAAGTGGCGCTTCAACAGCATGGCTATTCGTGCGAGAATTGGCCTGTCTCCCCTCATGTTACAACGTATCAATTTTACTCACCACCCGCGTTTTTCATGTTAGCATACTTTTTATATATACTCTCCCCCTTCTCTACGCTACATAGTTCTAGGCCAATCATTATTTCTAAGTGTCGTATTATTTCCGCAAATGTACTTAACGGAAAGTCGCGGATGAGTGGCTATACTGCTGCTTCATATTCTGGAGATTCCGAGTAGAAATGGCGGTCCACAGACCGGCTATCCTGATGATGTCCTTATAAGTCCTCAGTTCAGGCAGTGCCATAGCTCAGGCGGTTAGTAATCGGCGTCCTACAGATCCCAGGTCAGGTCATATGGGATTTGAGGCGGACGAAGTGGCACTGGGGCGGGTTCTCTCCGATACTTCGGTTTCTCCTGCCAAGTCCCATTCCATCAACTGCTCCACATTCATTAATCGTCCCACCAACAACGCTACATCGTCTCGAAACTGACAGCGCCATTACGAGTAAGTGAACAACCCCCAGACAGACTCTGCGAGCGTACCGTAAATTAGGTCATT